TTAAGTGATTATTAAGCTGGAATGTGCCCACATTGGTACTTGTTGTCTATTTTATTTGGATGCAGCATCAATACATCAATTAACAGTAGAAAAATGTACCATTCACCTTCACCTGAAGCATAGCCACATTGCCTCTATGGACCTTAATGCAGGAGGAAATTACCTTGTGATTTTTTCTTGAGGATGTTCTTAAAATATGATTTACTAGTTATAAATATAGAAAAACTGGATTCATAAACATCTTCAGAAAAAGAAAAAGAAAAAAAATGAAAGAAGCAAGGATGGAAGAAGGGAAATAGTCACTGGAACACATTTACTGCCACACTATGAGACAAAGCCATCCCAGGAGTACCCACCTCTGCAGCCCAAGGAATGGATCCTGTGAGGAACACAAGGAATGCACAGAAAGGCTCTTCTCCTTTTTCCTGTTAAAGAGAGCCTTAGAAATTCTGAGATTTTAACAGGTGGTCCCAGGCATAGAAACAAGCTGGGGTTCAAAAGTAAGGTTGACTCAGACTCTAGTATAAAAATAATGAAATTTTTTTTTGTTTTTATACAGTTTTCTATTGTGGGATAAAATAATAAAGTGTGGTGGAATGACAGCTGACCCATGGTTGATAACCTGTGGTTTTACCCTTGGCCCACCCACCATATAAAACAATATTTAAACTAAGAACCCATTAAAATCAACCACAATTTTTCTCCCTTTTTCTTTTTTCTTTCTTTCTTATTCCTCTACCATCTTTAACTTCATGCCTCTTCCTTGGTTTTTCAGGCTCTTGCTAACTTCAAAGCATAACTATGAATGTTAGCATTGATTAATATCTTCACCAACAGTTTCCTGGTACGAATCCCAGAGCATTCTAATCATTTACTCAAAGGTTTCTTTATGGAATGTTGATGTCAGCAAATGACCTTCTTACAATTGACATTCCAAAGGAAATACAATATTCTCTTAACTAAAAGGGCAAGGTTTTGTACCCATGATAAAGATGAATTTATACATGCAATCATCCATTTGTTTTCTCTTTGGGGAGTGAATTACACTTAGAAACAAGAACTTTTGTGACCTGATATTTTAAGAAGGAGATTAAGATTATATGTTCTACTTAATTTTAATAACACGAGTCTTCTAACCCAACTGCAGTAGAAAGCATTGCTGTAGTATTGACACACATGCTTATCCCAAAAATGATTTTTCTTTTGGGTAAAAATAGGTGATTAAATGGGCATTAAGTGAAACCAATGTTTCAATTGATTTTTTAAAAATAGCTTGTTATTTTAAAAAGGTAGATCTATTTCATCATATGACCAACTTTACCATAACTTCTAAGAAGAAGAAAGAAAATGACAATTTGTTTTTCTGGGTAGTAAATTTCCAGTAGTAGATATTTACAAGTTGTATGTTAGCAGCCTAAAATTTTAAGAGGAGAATAAGTTTTCTTTTAGTGTCAGTGATGTACATTTTACACATATTGGAAGTGCATTTACTGGCTTGCTTATTTTAAAAATAACCCTAAAATAAAATTATTATTTTTGTACCAACGTATGAATAATTTCATGCCCATGCCTTTTGTTCTATTGTTTACAAGTCTATCTCCTATCCTCACTAGGTTTTAATTGCCTTGAGGTCTAAACCTGTAACTTCCTGTGCTTCCATATTTATAAAATCATATCACAGGGCTTATTTCATGGGTATTCAATAAATAATTGTGGAATTTATTCTGACTGCTACTCCATTGTCATTTTTATTTCTAGTAGCTTACTGGTTTCCACAAAATTAGATTTCACAAGAAATTTTTACCTTTTATAAATAATAAGACTGAAGTAAAAAATTTGGAAATGGAAAGAATTTAGAATTTAAAATCAGAAAGATTGAATTGGGCAATGTAGTAGGTCAGTCAATGTTTTATAAATTGTGCTGCAGATATCTTGGTAGGATATAATTTTTTAAGTAAAGAGATTAGGAAAGGATAAAACATTTCATATTATTTCTAGAATTTTTTTAAATTTTAGTTCTTTATATATAAATGTATGAAATAGCCAGGTACAGTGATGCATGCCTCTAATCCCAGCAGCTTGGGAGGCAGAGGCAGGAGGATCATGAGTTAGAAGCCAGCCTTATCAACAGTGAGGCACTAAGCAACTCAGTGAGACCCTGTCTCTAAATGAAATAAAATAGGGATGGGGATGTGACTCAGTGGTCGAGTGCCCCTGAGTTCAATCACCGGCCCTCCCCTGCAAAATGAATAAATATATGAGTGTGTGTGTGTGTGTGTTTTTAATTGGGTAGCAGTGCAAAATTTAGGCTGTTGTAAAAGAAATGTTTATAAAACAGATTTTTGGGCATTTGAATGTTTTGAACAATTTTGAGCATGGAATTCCCCATCCATAAAATGGAGTTAATGGTAACTATTTTGGGGGTTTATCCTGAAGATTAATAATAGTAATACATATAAAGTACTTGCAGAGTACCTATTTTATGTAGAATATAAGCAAAAGCTTCCATCTTCTATCAAACCTAATACATTTAAAATTTATTTGATTAAGACCCTTTCAAATGTGCATAGAAATGCATTAAGATTTTAAATTCAAGAAACAAATTTTTAGAATACTTTCTCATTTGTAAAAGAATGAATTCATAAGAGAATGATTTTTTAAAAGCATTGCTTAATTAATTCACTGTTTATTGATTTTTTTCTTTGAGGTCCTTGCTTTTCAATTCAATAAAAGTGTTTTTAATTTAATCATCTGTTCACTCAAGTAATATTTTAAAAAGTGAAATAGAAGGACCAAGGGATTTTTGAAGAGAAGAAACTTTTTCTATGAAGAGCAGTTGAAGAATCTGGAGAAAGCATACAAAAAATCCTATGTAGGATAATACTAATTTTATACATGGAAAAGTTTGCCTCATGCCAGAAAGATTAAATGTATTCTTGGCAGAAGGAAGAATGAATATCAATTTATTGAAAGTTATGAGATAATAGAATTCAGCTCAAAACTGGACAGAATTAAACTTGACACTTGTCCTGAATCATTATAACTACCTCAGATGATGTTTCTCTGAGATGACCCGCAGCATGTGGTCAGACTGCATATCATCTAAACTGTCTTTCACCTTAAGGATTTTGTGACTATTAGACTGGCTTTTATAGGCCACACATCCTGATAGGCCATATACTAATGTTTTATTTGATCTTGCAACATACGCAAATCAGGTATGTTTTACACAAATGGAACAAAAAATTAAGTCCAAAAGGAAAGGCTAAAGATTTTGCATGTTTTCATCTATAAAAGAATCCTTGGGACTAGTGTTGTGGCTCAGTGGTGGAGTGCTCGCCTAGAACATGTGAGGCACTAGGTTCGATCCTCAGCACCACATAAATATAAATAAAAGAAAGGTATTGTGTTCATCTATAACTAAAAAATTTTCAAAAAAAGAACCCCTGATTTTTTCAGGTCAGATTTTCATAAACTTATAACCACTTTGCTTACCCCTGACGTTCCTCTGAGCATCTTCCATTTGTTAATTTCATTTGTTTTGAGTGCTTAATTACAAACATAAGTACACAAGAAGTCTGTCCATCTGGTCATTTTTAGCAGTTCTGCTGGTGTGAGTTTTGAAGCAAGTGTAGACAGGATTGAAGGTTGTATGCATGGGAACACCTCCAAGGAAGAAAGCAGGGGACCAGGGAACCAGTGGCTTCTGGAAGGAAAGTGATAATTCTAAAGGAAGATGACAGTATCCCCAAGAATTAAATCAAGAAGGGGTTATGGTGGTTATAGGAGAGGATTTTTTTTTTTCTATGCCCTTTAGGGATTGCTTCAAGTAGTTTTACATCTTCTCGGGAAAGTCAAATTTAACTCAAAGAATACCCTAGATCATATTGCAGTTTTAACACTTGAAAAGTATCTGCACCCTCTTAAACAATTCGTAGATGAGGAATTGAGTTGTTAAATAGGTGATTGTGTAAGTAATAGAGAGCTAGGATCGTTAGAACGTAAGCTCTTGACTTTGAATCTGTTTTTCTAATGATAAATAATTGTCCACAAATATTTTCCCCTGCATCTGATGGCCACACAGGCAACTAACTGAACCTTTCCTTCGGGTATTTTAGCCAAGGATCACAACTTAGTCTATAATATTATAATTTCCAGTATCAATAGGATCAATGTATAGTAGTTTTTTCAGAATGGATCATAGAACCAAATGAGGCCTTAGAGGTCTTCTTACTCAGAAGTCTTCAGAATGTTATTTTAACACTGAAACCCTTTGTACGAACCAGATTTTTAAACTAGATGATCTAGTTGAAATATTGAAATAAGTATTGGGACTCTAGACCTTTCCTGGCCCTATCTCTCACTTTAACCACTTATGCAACCACTAAGCTACCAAGAAATACCATAATTAAAAATAATAATTCATTAATTGTTTTACAACTGCATTTTCCTTGAGTGCAGGAAAAAGAAAATTATTTTAGGATATCAGAAAACTCCACTTTTAAGTGTGTCAAAAATAGCCTTTGGGGTGGATTGTGGTAAGCATGACTCCAGGGGAATCCAGAGGAAGGGAAGATATAAATTGTAAGTTAATTGACCTTCCTGCTGCCCAAAACAGACATTTATCAATATTAAGCAACTCAAGAGCATAATTTCTACCATTTCTCATACCTTTCCCAAACAAGATCTGTTAAAATAGACATATTTCTCTGAATATAAAATAATGACTAGTGCCGATATGAAATAGTTTTGTGTAAATGCCTAATAGTGACTTTTTTAGAGTCTTCTGCAAAATAGCAGTTCGTTTGGACAGGCCACACTATATTTGACAGAAGAGGCTTGGTTTTCCTTTTCATGGATTATCTAAAACCACCAGGAACCTCCAGGGCTTTTCCAGGACGAGATTCATTGATTGTGAGTAAGAGAAATGAAGAGGGGGGGGTGGCAGGATCAAGCTATGATTTACATTTACCCATCTGAAAACTTAGTCTGAGGCCAGGTTTAGTTGTTACTGATGTTTTTAATGATTGCATTGCCAGTGAGCTCATGTTTATAATCTCCCAGGACCTGAGGCTCCCTTAAGATGGTAGCATATTTATAACCTGCTTCAATGCTTTTTGCGTCCTGAATCCATGACTGAACGTTTCGTTTTATCTGATGCTTCTTTATTTGAAGACTCCTCTTGCCCAGTTCCACTTACCAGCCTAGCACAGGGGGGTAACTCTCCCTCGGGAAGGAAGTGAGTCTGTGTGCCAGTGGTTCCAATCACCAGCACATTTTTCTTCAAATCAATGGAACACTGATGTCTCCTGAGCATATCTAGTCCTAGAAGTACGTCCATGGGCTGCTCCTCGAGGATGGAAAAAGAGCACTGTAAGAAGTCACCTTCAATCTGAATCTGAGATAGATGAATGCGGCCAATAATCCTTTGTGTGCCCACTCCCTTAGCAACTCCAGCCCATCGTCGGTCCACCAGCCTAATTATGTTACATCTCTCAGCACAAGCTTGACTCATGATGGTCATTTGGGCTCCTGAGTCAACAAAAGCCTTCAGAGGATATCCATTCACTTTGCAGTTGACATAGAGCATTGCCACTTGTCCAAAACTCTCGGGGGCCTCTTCCATGGCTATGTTCATGTTTTCTTCGATGTTCTGCTGCCGAATCTCTTCTTCTATTCTGGCTTGAGCATCCAGATCAAATGGATCAGAAGAATAGAGGCGCAGTCTCTCTTGCTCTCTCAAGGATCTTTCCCTCTGCTGCTCCATCAAGACCTGAGAAAATGTCTCAAGGTTTCCGCTGAGCAGTGCTTCCGCCAAGGTTGGGTTGCGTTCCTTCAGCAGGGACAGATCATGAGGACTGGAAAGCAGCATACTGCGAATTAAAGTGGGGCTGTCCAGACCTTGAGAAGAAGTCATCTTCTCTCCAGAGGCCAAGCCATGGGACTGCTGTACAGAGGATGCACGTTTCTGATGCTGGTGCTGGTGCTGGTGTTGGTGCTGGTGCTGGTGCTGGTGCTGGTGCTGGTGCTGGTGTTGGTGCTGTTGCCTAGAGTTTGAAGTCCCAGGCACTGCAGTCCCACCAAAATCGACTCGGGGCTGGTTTGGGGTCCGTCCTACAGGCCGAGATCCCACATTATCCTTTTGAAGTAAAACAACCACATCGCCGTCTTTGAGGCCATAAGAGCCCAGGGAATAGTGATCGTCTGCCAAGATTCGCTCCATGTGGAAAATCTGGATCTCGTCGACGGGGACTCCAGACTCAAGCTCACAAAGGACCCGAAAGTTGCAAAGCTCAAAGTCAGGGCTGACCTGGAGGGAGAAGGTTGCCTCAGAGAGGTCCCTTCGCACACAGTACACAGTGATCAGCATGGCATGGGCCCAGGGAGGCCAGATGGGTAGAAAGCATCGGATGGTTCACTGGCTGACTGGAGCTGGTTTCTGTTGATGACACGGCTGCTCCTCACGACTTGGTGCGTTGCTCAGACTCATTCACCTCTCAAAGAGGTACAGCCACTCACCAGTCTGGGGGCTGCCTCCCAGCCTCACTGCCAGCCACTGGGCCCCATGGAGCCCTGAGGCAACAAGCTCACTTTTATATGTGCCACTTGGAACTTAGAATGCCCATTTCCATAGATACAAAGAAACCCAAGGCCGTTAGATTCCAAGCCCAAGCCCTTCAAACTCTACTTAATGCATGATATGAAAAGATCCCTTCAAGTCTTCCTGAACAGCATATTAAAGTTGATTTTGTTCATAATGGAATTATATTCTTTGAACTTTTATTTATTCCCCAAACAGTGAGGGCTTGTGTCCTACATGGCAAGAACCGTGCTATGTGCTTAGTCAGATAGGTCAGGTGTAGTGCCTACTCTTGAAAAGTTTACATTCTGGAAAAGGGTGGATGGGGGAATCAGCAAATCACAATCCTGGAGGTAAGTACTTTTACTAAGAATTGTCCAGTAGAAAGGAGGATGTTCCTCCAAGGAGGAGACACACTGCATGTTGAAGGATGGGCATTTTCCTGGTGAAAAGTAGTGAGTCACTCCACACCAAAGAAGCTGCATGTACGACACCAAGATTTCATGACAAGGTCTGTTATTTAGAAAGAAAGGTGAGATGCTCAATGTAATTGGAGAAATTCAGGTCTGAAATTTAGTGGTAGCTCATGAAGTTGAAGAAGACCATTGGAGCCAATTTATAAAGTCATATATCGAAGCCAAGGAATTTAAAAATTATCAATTATCAAGAATCACCACTAGAAGAAGGAGGAGGAGGAGAGATGGAAGAAAGGAAGGGAGAAAGAAAAAGTGTGGGAAAAAATCGAGGCTGGTATTTGTGTTTCTTTTTCATTTAATTGACTAAATAAAGAGGCTTCTTGCAACATATAGAGGATATACCATGGCAGAAGAGCCCGTTAGGAGACTTTTTCAATCATTCGAGGAGAGAACTGTTGTTAGCACCTGAAGACCCAAGGAAACTGAAGTCCAAGCAGTGGAGAAGAAATGGGCTTCCTGAGCAGAGTGGACAAGGACATCTTTATCCTTTGGATGGGAAAACTGTCAAACAGAGAATGTGAATAACAGAAGGTCTCCAAAATAGGAGACTGGGTACAAATAAGCCATTCCCTTGAAGGGACAAGTGAGAACTTTGAGATGACTAATTTTACATTGATTCTGTAGTAAAATGCATACCTCCTTCAAGGTCAGATATGCCTCTCTCGACCCTAAGGCAAAACTACCACCTCCATCCCTCACATAGCACAAGCAAATGCATGCACACAACACACACACACACACACCCACCCACACACACACACACACACACACACAGAGTAAAGGCTCTCAGAGTGAAAGTATAATATCCTGTGTAGTGGTACAGTATTTTCTCCATATCTTGTGGATTATTTCTCACATGAGCTCGTTCTTCCCTAGTATGCGTACTTATGAACCAAAAGATAGTCAACATCCTCTGCCTGGACCTCTTTCTTCATTTCATGTTTTGTCAGAAGCCTGCGCCATTATATAGAGAAGGGTATTGTTCAGGCTAAAAGATTATCATTATTATTATTATTATTATTATTATTATTATTATTATCACCATCATCATCATTGGTTCTCTTTCATCTGTTTGTTTCAAATGAAAGACTGTGTCTCATCTATTTCTCTAATTATCATAACGTTGCCATACATTTGTTCTCATTAGAAATATCGATTAAATGCCAGGGTATGTGCAGCACGTGCTGGGTCCTGGGGAGACAGACATGAATGTTAAATCCAGGTTGGTTCTTAAAGGAGTTCGCTCTTGAGAAGAGGGCACACACACATTTGGGAGGTAAAACAATAGCATGATAGAAGCCAGCACAGTGTGGGAGAAATCAATATCTGGAAGCTGCAGAGGGCTGTCAGGAAGGCTTGCTGGGAGAACAGGGCTTAGCAACAAGGAGTCAACCATGCAGGATTGAGAGGGGGTGGAAAAATCAAGGCTCAGGAAGAGGCTGGCCTTGTTTACAGGCTTTAGTAGAAAGTTAGCACCTTGAAACATGAATATTTTATAAAAAAATGTATGGTAAAAAATATAACATTATAATGTCCTATAGAATATCGAGTTATTTAGAGACATTTTACACTGGTTTTAAAGATGAATAGAACTTGGACCCAGTAACATCATGTTTTTCAATTTCTTCTGTGGTTCTTAGCATCCTGATGAGGTCATCAGAGACCAATGTGATTTCTCCTGAGTGTGGGAGCAGACATGATCAATCAGACAGCACAAGCAAACTACTCAAGAACAGACCGAGAAGCTAGAAAAACTTAGTTTCAGTTTTCTTCTTTTTAATTCCCCAAGCAGATTTGTGTTCAGTTAAATAGATTACTACTAGGGCTTTGTTTTTTCAAACAAGTGAAATTATTTTTATAGGATAATTTTCCTTTTGTAAAGAAAAAATGAGGGTCCATAAAAGAAACAAATACCTTTTTCTTCCATATTACCATTGCCAGAATACCAAACATAATTAAACTTAATGCGCATATTATCTTTTTTTTTTTTTTTTTTTGGTACTGGGATTGAACTCAGGGGTACTCGACCACTGAGCCACATCCCCAGCCCTATTTTGAATTTTACTTAGAGACAGGGTCTCATTGAGTTGCTTAGTGCCTCACTTTTGGTGAGGCTGGCTTTGAACTCGCAATCCTCCTGTCTCACCCTCCCAAACCACTGGGATTACAGGTATGCGCCACTGCACCTAGCAGTGTGCATATTATCTTGCTGTAACTCTTTACTTCTGGTGACCTTTTACTGTTATGTTATTTTTAATACTTTATCTTTTATTGAGAACACACACTGAAAAGTAAAAAGCTTCAATGTCTGGCCAATTAACATTATTTCATAAATCACAGGATGTCAGGATTGGCAGGAATCCTTTAGGTCCTCTAGTCCAGCCACCCAGTCAGGCTTTAAACCTCTGTTGCAAAACAGCTGGATTCTAAAGAGATAAGCAGTCTCCCGGGATGTTTCATATTTTTGTTTTATGCAGTGCTTGATTCTTTCATTTTACTCAGCACTATTGGTGATAGCACATGTGTAATTCTCTTAACTCACATTTTAATTAAAAACCCCATCTGATTATGTAATAAATTTGAAAATCCTTGGGAGTATATATAAATACTCCTAAATATGAAATGCTGTGTAACATGGTAAAACCATAAATCCCTATTGCACACACTCCTTAGGAGTGGCTGCTCTGAATTATCCAGGCTTTATTAATCTTGGTAACTGAAGGCTATTACAACTTTTCTCAAGGAGTTCTTTAAGTATTTTCACTGGCTTTTCTTCCTTGGCAAGTGCACTATAAGAACATAATTGAATCTTTCTTTGATAAGTGAGACTCCTGCAAGGTCTCAGGGCTATCACTCAGAAAATCAATTTTCATTGTATAGCCTAAATACGAGGAAAATAGAAGAGACAGCAATGATTTTTATTCTAGCTCAGTAAATAACCCAAAAGTTATTTTTTGGAGTAAACCTGCAGTAATACGTTTTATAATTTGCCTCTTTCTAAAAACTTATTGCAGCAAAAAGATCAGATAATTGATGGTCCCATTTAGTACAATCAGTCGATGTTTAAAGCACTGACTATTGCTTTACAAAGTAAAATAAATGTGGGCTTTTGATGAAAAAAAATGAGTATTTGAATAAATGTCATTATGAAATAAATACAGTAAAAGCTATATATATGTATACACACATGTATATATGTACACACATACATTCTTGTTCTATTGGGATTCTTTCCTTTAAATATGTGCATGGTATTATTTTTAAAGTGTAACCAAGACTTATTAAGGCAGGAAAATTATCATTTTATATTTTCAATGCAATTTAGGAAAGAGGTAGAATTTTCAAAGCTGTAGCCTTAGGTTAAACAACTAATTTTTCCACTGTTCTTCCATTTGCTTTACAATAATACAATAAGTTGTGTAAAACAGTCATGAATGAATAACATTATTGCATCAGATAGTTAATTATTTAATAGATACATTAAAACATGAAAAATCTTACTATTACCTGTCTTTGAAGTTTAAATGTCATAATAAGACCTGTAAAATAAACATATAAACATATGTGATTGAAGGAACTCATGAGACCTGTGAATTTAGTTTTGTCAATTTCTGTTAAGAGCTCAGCAAATGGTTTCTCTTCACTATAATACAAAACTTGAACAGAGGATAAACACAAATGAACTCACATATGTACACAGAAACACAGAAAAAGAGAAACACAGAGGACACTCGTTGCAGAACATAGTTTTGAATACATTAAAAGTACAATTAGAAGGTTATGTCATTTTCCTGCAAGAAATATTTTCATGGTACACTTTATTTATGCATTATATAAATTATTTGTTTTTATGTATCATGAAAAGAGATTCATTGTAAGTTACATACTGCATGTAGAAATAATATATAAATTTATATGTTACATACTGCATGTAGAAATAATATATAAATTTAATCTCTTGAAAACTTTTGGCATTTTCAAAATATGTACCTAAGTCTGTGTGTGTGTGTGTGTGTGTGTGTGTGTGTGTGTGTGTGTGTAAAAGAAACTTTGGTGCCATGATTTTGTTCTTAGGGTTCCTTCTGATGTCTTCATTGTAGAATAAAAATCAGTGTGATCTCTAGGGCTTATGCCTTAAAGACTTGAAGAATATTGCTAATTTGTGTGGTAAGCATTTACAGATTAAATAAATTTAATAAACAAATTAAAAGCAGTATAATAAGGATTTATGACTTGGTGGATTGACATTTTGTTTCTTGACTTTCAATATACCTTAGAAAAGGAATGTTCACATATTCCTATGATGACTCTGTGAAAAATAACCATGTAATACAAAAATAGTAATACTGATAATAGGGCCTGAAGTTTTGAATTTAGCTGTGCTTGAGAAAAATCATTAGAACCATTGTTGGTTTATGCTTTGTAATGATATGTGATCATCTCATTTAAAAATCACTGTCACTGTAGTTTAGAAATAACAACATGGTCTATATTTGTAAATTCAGATACACTGTACTAACTTCGTCAAAGATTTTGTTT